CTGCTCCCGGCCGCGGGGGAGGATGTCCGAGGATCGTGGAAGGGAGGAGGAGGAGGAGGAAGAGGAGGAGGAGGAGGAGGAGGAGGAGGAGGAGGAGGAGGAGAAAGAGGAGGAGGAGGGAGGAGGAAGATGAGCAGGAGGAGGCGGAAGAGAGAAAAAGGATGATCATGGGGGGGAGGAGGAGGAGGAGGAGGAGGAGGAGGAGGAGGAGGAGGAGCGCACGTAACCTGAGGCGGTTCGTGGTAACCCCAGCACTAGATGCGCATATCAGCAAATGCGGCGGCTCGTATTTCGTAATGGTATGGCGGCGTCGGGGACCGACGGCGCAGAGAGAGATCAGCTTTCAATGTGTAATAAATGTGAAAGCTGAGGACAACAATCTGGTGGCATCGTTGACGGGGATACTCTGTCTCCGAATCGGGCTCAGCTCCAAGACCCAGACGAGTGAGGGGCGAGACGGGGAGAGACCCGCGAGGGAGGGCGAGGAGGTGCAGCAGTCGAGGACACACGAGGTCGTGGGGGAACTCATCTGAGTCGGAGCATCCAAAGAGACAGAAGCAGGATGGGGCACTCGGAAGGCGCGCGAAGGTCGTCCAGGCCCCCGCCAGAGTCTTGAGGTGGGCCCGAGCCCAAGAGGGGGGAAAGTGCGAGAGGACCACACGGAGGGCCTCCCAGCGTTTGAGCAGCTCGGGGGCCGCTGGGATGTCCCCACTTGGAAGCCAAACCGCGAGACGCCGATGGAGCAAGGAAGGAAGGGCGTCGGGGAAAAGAGACGAGGAGAGTAGACGGGTGAGGGTGCGCTGCGGTCGGGGGCGGCGGGCATCCTGCGCCGCCAGTAGGATCTCGGACTCGGCGGCTGTCGTTGCAGCCCGCCAGGCCGCGGCTTCCACGCCGGGCGGAGGGGCCGCTGCAGAGGGCGATGCCTCCAGGAATCCGGCGATCGAGCATCTTCGCACCCAGCATTGTGGTGAGAGGCTCCGCGTCGCGAGAGCACCGAGTGCTCCGTGCAGCTGTGCGTGCGATCGGAGGGTCTCCAGAGGCCCCGCCCGCCCCCGAGGCCCGTCGCGAGGAAGAGTGAGGGGGGCCGTCCGCCAGGCCGAGGATGCGGCAAGCACGAGGGCGGATCGAGGGGCCGCTGATGGGAGCCAGGAGTCAATGCCGATCAGCTCCCCGAGGCCGAACGAATTGGGGGGAGACGGAGGACACGGTGGAGGACGTGACGCTCAGACCGAAGGAGGGACGGGGAAAGGGGAAAGAGCTGGCAGACGTAGCTAAGGACAGGGAGGATGCAGAAATTATAGCCTGCAGCTGGCTTCGGCAGGGGAGCGAGAGAGGGCAGTCTCGATCGTGCGGGCGCGCCATTTCTGTGAAGGGGCGGCCCATTGCTGTTCTAGCGTTGCACCAGGGCCGAACTCGATGCCAAGGAATGTTGCGTGTCCACGCACGTGAAACTCAGACCATTGGGGGGCGAGATCGGCAATCGAGCGCTGGAATTTCGCCTCCGCGGATGGCGTGCATGACTCCGCCAGGGGGACGACACGACACTTTTCGGGCTGCAGGGGCAGGCTCGCTAAAGCGCGGGCGGCGTCGAAGGGGGGGGCGAACGCATGGACGAGCGAGATCGAGGGAAGGGCGAGTCCCGCATCGTCCGCCGTCGCTCCACGTTCAGGGAAGAGCCCTGGGCACCATCTGAATGGGCGAGGGCACATTGCGCGAGCCGTTGGGCTGGCTATCAGGGCCTCTAGGTGGCGCAGGAAGGGGTCCATGCACAGAGCCCATATGGTGCCTGAGAGGGGGCATCCTTGGGCGACCCCCGAGGAGACCACGAAGAGCGGGAGCCTGGCGGAGCCGCATCGGGCGTGGGCGAGAGCCCCAGAATACATAACAGAAATCAAATTCAGAAAACCAGTCGGGATGCGATGTCGCTCGAGCACTCGGCACAGAAACGACTGGGGGGGAGGGGAAAGCGGCACGAAGGTCGAAGGAGACGAAGGCAGGAGAGAGGTCAGGGTGGTGCCCCGCAGCTCGAGCGACCGCATCCTGGCGGACAGCGTGGCCAAGGAAGTTGCGGCCACGGGTGAAACCCTGCTGCGCAGGGTGCGCGCGGAGGGCAGTCAGGTGTCCCAGCTGGATGTTCGTCGCCGCCGCTACAGCCTTCGCAGCAGCGCTCTTCGGGCTCAACGGGCGGAGGCAGCCAGGCGCCCTGACCACGTCGAAAGAGTCGGACGCATCGGAGCCCTTGGGAACGAAGGCCATGTCCGCGTAGTTGAAGCCCAGGGGAGCGCCTCCGCCAGCGAAGAGGCGCAGCATCAGGGAGTGGAGGACATCAGAGAGCCGCTCGTCCACCAGCCATGCTTTCGCCATCAGGCGGTCAGGGCCAGGCGCAGACGGCCTCGCACGCTGAAGGGCTGCACGGAGCGCCTCGACGGACGGCGCGTGCATCGAGGGCGCCTCGAAGGAGGGGGGGCGCAGGTCCAGGTGGCGGTCGATCGCGTCCATGTCGACAGGCTGGTCCGTGAAGTGGGGCTTCCAGTAGGTGCGCAGGGCGTCGAACACGCAGATGGGGTCACGCTCGATGGATGCACCATGGCCACTGCGCTCCAGGCGGACTCCAGCGAAGACCAGGCGTCGACGAAAGGGCGCCCAGAGCATGGCCCTTCGTTGCGCCGCCCGCTGGAGCTTCAGCAGCTACCACTTGCCGGGCCCCTCAGCACCCGGCCTGAGGCGCGCCTCCTCGCCGAGCCGCGCGGCGGCCGCGGCGCGCTGGCGCCCGTGCCAGGCCGCATGCAGCAAGCGGCAGCCCCTCTCGAAGTCCTCAGCGGCAATGAGGGAGACCACTTCGGCAGGGCTGACGATCAGGTGCTTCTCGCCTAGCGCCGTCGAGCTGATCAGGCGACGCGCGAGGTGCGCATCTGGACGCCAGACGGCTCGCGCAATGGCACGCATGGAGAGCCGTCTGCCATCCTCGGCATCCTCGGTGTAGTCGCCGATCGGGAGGGCCTGGATCTCGTTCCTGGTCAGGCGCGCCGCCTCGGCCATGATCTCGTTGACCAGGGCCCAGCGGGAGGCCACCTCCAGGGGGTCCAGGTGGGCGACGTCCAGCAGAGTCTTCACGTGCTTCGCGTAACGGGGGGAGCTGAAGATGTTCGGTGGAATGGGCTGCTCGGTGGGCTCGGACTGCGATCGAGCCCGGACCTTCAGCTGGATGATGGCGTGGTCACTGCGGCCCCAGCCCGCCAGCTTCGCAGCCTCCTGCCAGATCTCGAACGACATCGCCGTGTTCAGAATGGAGTTAGACTTCAAGGAGACGAAGGCGCGGTCAATGAAGGAGCAGGTCTGGTACTGCTTGGAGAAGTGCGTGGGCAGCTCGCACGTAACCTCTGCAAGCGCTTGCTGGAAGAGCGCTCTCCAGAAGCCTTGACCTTGGTTGCCACGATGCCAGACGGAGCGGCTGTTGCCCGCCCGTCGAGCCCCACCCCGCCCAGAGTCCGAAGAAGAGGAAGAAGAGGAGCAGCAGCTGCCACCACGTCGCGCAGTGGCACTTGAAGTCAAGATAAGGGTGTCGCGGTTGGTGGTCACGCGGGCGGCAGCGGTGGGCCTCTCAAGGGACAGCGGCTCCAAGTCGGCGATGTTGAAGTCGCCGATGGCAATGAAAATACGGTGGCGTTCGTCATCTTGCGCCCAGCGGGCCCCATCCATCCAGCTGCGCTTGATGGAGGCAAAGGAGGCCAGCGGGACGTCGTGGATGTGGATATGGAGGATGCGGACGTGCTCGTTGGTGCGCGCGCTGGAGAGGGTGAGCTCAGCAACCCGCCCAGGCACCAGCGTCTTCAGCGTGGCCGAGGGGAGCAGGCGCTGGTCCAGGGAGCGCCGCTCGGCCTCAGAGAACCACGGCACCAGGAAGGCCAGGCCTCCCGTGCAAGGGTTCGCGCCCGCTGAGAAGAAGGCGCGGTCGTGGTACAGCAGCTGGTCGACCAGGGTCCTGAGCTTGATCTCCGAGCCGTGCGTCTCCTGGACGACGATGAGATTGCGGAGCTTCATCGGCTGAGCGAGGCGTGCCAACTTGGCCTTGCGCTTGCGCGCGCTGGCGAGCGAGTCAGAGGCTCGGGCGGGGGCAGGCACCCAGGGCAGCCAGCGAGGGCTAGGAGCACGACCAGCTGGACGTGTCCACCTCGGAGGCAGGCGCTGTGGCCTGGTTGAAGTGCTCGACAGTGGTACGGCGGTCGCGGTCGCTGATGAATTCTGCCGATCCTGGGTGCCAGTAGATCTTGGACGACTCGTGGAAACCCTGTGGGGCGACCTCGATGATCGGCACGGCGTTGGCGCTGATGATGCCCTTGGGTCTGATGGCAGTCCAGTCCACGGGCTTGTCGCCAGGGTGGCTCCAGTCCTGGTTGGGGATGTTGAGGAGGCGCTTGGTGTGCATCTCGCGGCGAATCTGTCGAGGGGCTTTGTCAGCGCCCACGTGGAGGGTGGTGCGCCGTCCGTCTGGGGCCTCCACTGTAAATGTACGCCAGCCGCCACCAGGAAGCCGCAGGGCACGGACCAGGGCCATGGAACGCGGGGCACCTGCGCCACCGTCGCCCTTGACGTGGACGAAGATGCGCTTGGATGGGGACAGCGCCACCAACCACTTCGATGAACTCAGAGCGGACCTTCGCGGCGACGATCCAGTCCTCGAGAGCAGCGCGGACGGCGGGGCCCGAGACCGGGCTCTGGCAGTTGGCCGTGAAGAGGAGCGGGTCCGCATCCTGGTCGTACTCGGCGGGCTTGGCGAGGTCAGCTGCGCCGAGCTGTCGCTCGGCGAGGGCGAGGCTCGACCGGATCTCGCCCACTTGCTCCCGCAGCCTGGCGTTGTCGCGCTCCATCTCCTGTTGCCTGCGTTTGATCTGGTGAACATCATTGGGCTGCGCGGCCAGGCTCCTCGTGATGGGGTCGACGTAGCGGGCCATCTCCTGCGCCAGGGCCGTCTGGGCGGCTGCCATCGATGACTTGCTGAG